AATTGAAGACAGTTTTGTTTAATCTCAGTTTTAATCTCAATATAAAAAGTATAGATGTACAAAATCTATAACAATAAAAAAATCCATTTTTTAATTAATATCTACGAGTTTTTTACATGAAAATGTGTCCACAGAAACAAATTTAGTATTATTCGAATAGCAAAACAAATTACAGTCGAAACATTTTTATTCTTTTCAAATGTACATGTTATTTCTATATACACAAAGTTTTCATAAAATAAGCTTTCAAGCCTTTGTTTGAAGTAGAGGAATCTGATTAACCTGCCTTCTTATTCAGGCACAATTTATCTTTTCATTCACTGAATAATATAAAAAATATTAAAACGGTTATGCAATGTTATTTCCAAAATACTTGCTAAAAATAACACTCAAAATGTACATCTAACTGTCCTCATTTGTTCCCATACATTTTGTCTCTTGCACCTTCTTTGTCACCAGCTCAACTGAAAGTGAAGTTTCTGCCCCAGCACCATGTGGGAACTAGAGAAATGTGAAAACAAATGAGAAAAGCAAAAGTCATAGTTAATTAATTCATTCTTTTTATACGCTCCAATTTGGAAATGGCCCCACAGCACCTACACCACAGTTATGTTCTCCTGGACTTCACTAGAAATGTCCCTTGAGGAGATTCTCAGCTCTTTGGCTTGACTTCAGCCTCCAGGGAGCATCATCTGTGTTCTCAGCTCAATGATTTGAGTATTTCAAAGTAAGAGCTCATTCCAGACAACACTCATACGTCATGAAAATGTTTATACCGGCAATAGTGCTGCTGCTCTTCCTCAGAAAAAAAGAAAGACAACTCTTCTGTACGTTTTGGCAAGAAACATTTGAGCCCTGTAGTCTGCGATGTGAGGTGTTTTTGTCTGTCTGTTCTACCTGGATCTGTACTTAACAAATATAGCAAACAATGTGATCTCCAGGCATTATTTAATCAACATCAACGGCATCCAACATTTGGTAAAGATGTGAAAAGTCAACCACAACTCATTTTCTTAATGAGTTGCCTTATTCTTCTACTCCAGTTTTGTTTTATTGCAGTTTTCCTGAGGGAAAAGGACAGAAGACCCCAGATGATGAGAGAGCATTGCCTTTTGAGAAAGTGTCTGAAGTCCCATGCGACCTACTAGAAACCCAAATCATCGTAATAGCCCTTGTGTTCCTAGCTTGTGATTTTGTAGATCTCATTAAATCACCACCGATCCAAAATCGGGAAACAACGATTAATTTGTTCAAATAAAAAAATGGTTTAATTAAGAAATTAAGAGCTGAGGTCCTCCAGGACCGGGGGTACCCAGATTTGGTCTGAGGTATACACATTTAACTCTTGACCCTGGGCTTGTGGGTCTCAGCCTTCAAGACTGTACTCAACCAATCCCATTCACCTTGTAATGTTCTCACAGTATAATGGCCTAAAGAAAACACAACCTACCTCTTGCAGAAAGTCTTGATTTCACATTCTATCTAGAGGATCTACATTCTTCTTTGCAGATTTTTGGAAAACTCTTCCTTGATTTAATTTTCTTTCAGGAAACCTTGTATTCTCTCTCTCTGGTTTAGGCTTACCACTCTCTTCTGTCACACCTTGTTCAGCATACCTTCCTGTGTTGTTTTGGATAGGACCCATATTTGTGTGGAAGTACTGTACAGTAGATACCAACCAACAATCAACTTTCCCTATAACCTTAATTTTGTAGGATTTCTTGCAGTGTTTTTTTGCTTTCATAATCACAGCTAACACCCTTTGACTGATCTGAAGAGTAGCACAGCTCATTTCTGTAATTATAAAGGAAGCACAGTTAACAAGCACTCGAAATAGCGGTACCAGTGTTCACTGTGATGAGGGGAACTCACTGAGGAGATGTAAAGTTCTTAAATGTCTTGACTTCTTAAACTTCTTCATCCAAGCACACAATCTTTCAATCCAAGTACACAATCTTTCAATCTGTATCACATTGCATTACATACCATCTTTAAATGATAGTTATGAACTGTTTGACTAAGTCCTCGGTTTGAAAGTAAGAACTGGTTTAATTATTTCAGACAGAAGGATATACAGAATTAAACTTAGAATGGAGACATAAAGCTGAAATGAGCCATAAGTGACCATAAGGCCATATTTTAGGGTGTTAGAGTGCGCATTATAACTGAATTAGTATGCATAAACTGATTGAATACATATTAAGATGAGATATGGACAAGCTTAATAGCTACTGTACTTATCATCTTAGGTGCTGCTGAGGGTAAAAAGATTCATAGGGAATGTCATCCTGTCCTTCTTAGTTTCTTCTTTACTGTTAGATGGAAAACTGAAAAAATAGTTCAAGTAGGTAGCTGCGTCAGCATGCATAGGCTGCAAAGGAACAAGCAAAGGTTTATTCCATGCTGAAAAGCAAAGAAAAGAAACAAAGTTTTGGTTGCAGACCCTTCTTCAGGTGTCTCACTCTTTTCAGTGTGGAATAAACCTTTACTTGTTCCTTTTTGAAAACAAATGCAACATTTTTCAGAACACAGGGCTTCCTGAGCCCCACAGAAGTACCAGAAAGTTGACAGTCTGACGTCACTTACTATTTAAGTAAAATTAACAGCATTACGTGGACTTATCAGCGCTCAATCTGAATAATTTGTGAAGCATTATTATAACTTTATGTTAAAAAACAGCACCACAACAGGCCTAACTCTCAGCAGAACCGTGTATCCCTTTATAACCAAACTTAGTCTAAATTAAACCCATGTAAGAATAAACTGTAGCTTTTTACCCTTGACCAGTTAAGTAATTATTCAATTAATACATCATACAGGTGAACAAAACAGAGGCCTAAACGACCTCTAGTGGCAGGTCAGTGAAACAATAATCATCAGTATTGCTGACCTGCTACACACCGTTGGCATAATTAAATACACAGCCAGAACATTAAATAGTTTATGCCTACTATTGTGGGTATTATTATACCTGTCTAGTGGTTTTAAACAAACCACATCTCATTAAGACAGTATTCCTTATTGTTTTTAAAATATATCTTTTAAAAATGAATAAATACCATCACCCTAGCTGATCTCAATGTACTGTATAGCTTTACAAACAACTGGGCATCTTTTGCTTCACTTAGTTCTTGAAAGACTTTCTGATAACAACAATCACCATAATTAATTATTAGCACCTTCATTATTATACTATGATATTATACTGTGCCTTGCTTTAACCAGAACAAAATCTCAAAATGATCGGTCTGGTGAAATAAAAATAAAATTCAATATTCCCAAAATTGAAGGATGCATAGAAATTAAACAGCACTACAGTAGTGTGGGAAAGTATTGTACACCAGTATCTCAACTGGCCGTGAATCTAATGTTTTTTGAGTTCTTGAAGCCACTTTAAATTAGCCACTGCTCTTCTGTTTTTGTACAGTTTATCAAGGTAAAAACTTTATTCCTTTGAAAACTTGGCAATTGTAAAGTAGGACAAACTTAAGATGTTTTTCTTTACCAAGTTCTTGGAAAACATTGCAATGAGAAAGTCACAATATTATAACTGTACTGTAAATAATCCATTTTGAATTAATAATCACCCATCCAGTAATAAAATGAAAAACAATGAGTAAGGAAGCAATGTAAATACAGATTGGACATAAACATTTATTAAGTAAAAGTTCTACAATGTTCTTACATTTTATGCTGTATTCTTATTTTTCCGATTTGTTAAAATTTATGGAAAAACGAATTAATGCAAAATTAATGACAGCCATGATACAATTAGAAAACAGCTCAAAATTAGGTTCCATATAATTAATTTAAATCTTAACCTCTACAGACCTTCATAAGTTTTTAATAATGGGAGTCATTTCATTGTTGTGGATTACAAAATAAATCCACAAAAATACAAAAAATCATAACAATCACATCTTATTTTTTCCATGCAGTTTGATAAACTATGAAATCATCTATATTTATAATTTATTTTAATCCTATTTCCTTTACATATGATATATATAATACATGTATAGCATATTTCATTTCATGCTGTATAATACATTCATCAGGTTGATTTTTTAGTGCAGTTGGTTGGTCTTCCAGCCAGTCATGTCACTCCTTGCAGTGTTAATCATTGAATTAATTAAATACTTTAAGGATGGGTTTTGTTTACCATGCAAAATACTTGCTTCCAGTCCACTCTTTGAACATTCATATTACAAGAGTGCTATACAAACACATGCACTTTCATTAACAATATACAGTTTTCACATCTGTGAAGCCTTTAATTCAGATTAATAACACCACAAAGGTAAGAAGGATAAAAACAATATTGAGATTTAAAATGTAAATAAGTCATTTGTGGGCAATTCTCAATGAATATATCATTTTTTATACTCCTTGATATCTTCAGGACTCTCATGTAATTCATTTATCTTTGTTGAAAATGTGTATGTATGAACAGATAATATAATTAAACCCCTTTAAATCTGAGAAATAAAAATGAAAAAAGCTTAAACCTATCCTATATCTTCCTGGCTTCTCAAGTATTTTTTTTACATACTGTTGCTTAGATCTATATAAGTTCTTAAGTTTCCACATTTTTAAAAATAATCTTAGATTGCACCTTCAAGTATTTTACATGAAGGAAAATAATTTAAAAATATACAGTATATGTGCTATATAGATATAGATATAAGAATATCTATTTGGAAGATATTACCATGTCTTGATTGACATGTTTGATTGACAATCATACAGTACATGCAAAAACGAATTCAAATTCTTAATTCTCCATTCATCCAATCATACATTTGCATGTCAAATACTACTGAGAAATGAAATGAACTTAACATCTCAGCACAGCACCAGGATCTTGGAAAAAAACAAAGGAAAATGACATTTTTAATCTCTAATGCATTAGAACTGAAAAATTGTATTTTACTACTTTGTACAGAATGAATCCAGAGGTCACACAAATCCTAATTGTAAATCCAGAAAAACAAAACTTCTAAGATTAGACAAACTCATTATCATTTATTGTAGCTTGTTTTTAACAAAATATGTTTGAACAGGAAAACTGAAAGGAAATAAAATGTTTCAGAGAAATAAAGGAGGCTGTCAGGTACAGTAGAAGCATAGTATTACAGACAACGTGTTATAAAAGTGGATGATTTTAAAAGATATACATTAATAACTGATTAAAATACATTGCTTTCATTCATGTTTATTCATACAGATTAAAATATACAGTATACCTCAATGCAGTGCCTTTACTACAATACATTTCATAATGAGCATACTAGAGGTTATGATCTTTTTGTCTTTGGTGATGGTGATAGAGAGAAATCTGTGTACAGGGGACAAAGGCTTTGGTCATGGTGAACTATTTACACTTTTTAACAACGTAAGGTCTGTCTATCATACAAAAATGACAATTAAATGTATTAGAAAGCCAACGTGACATCATTGAAGACCTTTTCACCATAAAGTTTAAATAAGTGTACAAAACTGGACCTTGGTTTAAATACATTTTGGACAGTACAAATATTTCCAAGTCCAAGTAAACCCAGTGCTACACAAAACAAAAACAAAAAAAAACATTTTTGCATATCACTATTTTTTAACAATGCTGTATGTCCTTTCAGTACATTACATGGTTAATAATTTTAAACATACAAAAAAAGAGTAGGTTCATATTGTGTATATTTTAGAATGTGTCTTTATTTTACTTCACATAATTGTTATCCATACCTGGCAATGCCGTTCTTTGAATGTGGGATCATGTTAATGCTTTCCAGTGTACAGGATTAATACACTTGATGTTTTTTACTGGATACTTAAATCTTTTTACATATAATTGTTTAGATATGTACTCATATCTAATTTTTCACCTTTTTAAAGCAATTATTTTGATTTGCAAGAAATTCAAAACCATACTTAATACTTAATACCAGGTCCTAATACTAAAGCCTTTTACGTGTTTTCCAAGAGTTTTGAATATCTCAATCAGAACTCTAAACAAATATCATTATCAATATAGTTTTACATTCATTTCATAAAGCTTGTAGACCATTTGTGTATTAGAAAGCAATACAGGACACTACAAGAGAGTGTTATGCCTTTTATTGTGAATAAATAACCTCTGATTTTTCTGAAGCCACTTTAATCTTGCATTTATAGTTTATTTTTGATAGATGTGAAAAATCCATTTTTTTTATCAGGGCAAGAAATATAAAAACTGAATATTAATAATAACAGATGATTTGGTTTTAACTTTAGAGCATCAGCCCACCAGATTGCCTGGATGTTGCTCATTGGATAGGACCAGTACTAGAAGGCCTGACTCCTTCAGTACTAATAACAAAAACCTGTATTGTTTTCTTCCATTTTCATAGTTGAATGTTGTATTTAATTAAGAGTTAAGGACATGTGGTTTATATACAGCAATATTGCTATATTCTCTGAAATCAGGGGAATTTATTAATTTACATAGAGATGTTGGCATACATATGCTCAATTTTCTCCTTAAAGAACTCTCTCAGTTCTGATCTCTTCGCCTTTAATGTTGGAGTAAGAAGGCCATTTTGTATTGAGAACAACTCATTGTGGATGTAGATGTCTTTGACCTAATGGAAGGGGAGAGTCTAAGTTAGACACCAGCAAGATGCGTTATGAACACTACCAAACAGTACACAAATACATTTCTGAACTCATGGAGACCACCTGTTTATATTGTCCAAATCACCACCTACTCATTACATATTCATCCATTTTCTAACTGCTTTTCCAATTCAGGGTTGCAGGGGAGCCGAAGCCTATCTTGGCAAGCAATGGGCAAAAGGCAGGGTACAACATGGACAGGACACCAGTCCATTGCAGGGCAGACACACAAACACCTAGGGCTAATTTTTCCAAAACCCAATTAGGCTACCAGTATGTCATTGGACTGTGGAGGAGCACCCATAGGAAACCTGTGCAGACACAGGGAGAACATACAAACTCCAAGCAGAGAGCATCTCAGGTCTGGAATTGAACTCTGGGTCCCAGTGCTGCAAAGCAGCAAAGCAAAACACTGTGCTACCATGCAGCCCTTGTAATTAAACATAAGATATATAACGTATACATATATAAGTTATTATATGTACAAACGATACTAATTTTTCCCTCCATTTCTGCAAAATGTGCTATCACAGTCAAAATAACGTTAGACAAAATATATAATAGATATTGTTTCATATATAAGATTAAATACAACATATTGAATATCTTTTCCTTCAATTGTGTATCCCTAATATCCCTCTTTTCTTGAAACCTTTACACTTCGAAGTTTAGAGTTTCTGACCTGTTCAAAAGAATGGAGTCCACTTGCTTTTCCCAGTCGTACCATATCATCCATTACTGCTTTCTTCACTTCCTTTACACATAACAGAAAAGGCTGTATTAAAATCCAGTATTGCTTTGTTGTTTTAATAAATGCTACAGTATGCCTATTTTAAGAGTCCATGGAGTAATGAAGAATCGACCCTATGTGTACGGGTTGTCCACCATAGTGAATTGTAAGCATTAGTAGTATTGAGCAGACTAATCAGACATTACAGTATTTGCCTGGGCTCCAGTTTGTTTTGTTTTTATAAGAAAGAATGTTCTTTGGGGCTTTGTTTCTTTTGTGAAGTTAAATATGATTTATATGATTTCCAAAATGAGTTCCAAAAATATGCTTATTATTTTGAGTGCATTTCTAAAATCCATGCCTAAAAACCTTCTTCCATGTTTCTGTAGAGCATTTAATTCACTTAGAAATGAAATAGGTAGATCTTTTAGTTTTCATTTTTATAACGTCACTTTTAAGTTTTGTTATTTTTTTCACGTTAAAGTGTTTCACTTATAGAAAAGGAGCAAAAAGGCTATGAATACTGTAAGAAACCTAACTTTCATTGCTAACAAATATTAATTCTTTCTTCAAAAATCTCCTATTCCATAAAAAGGTGTGTTTGTATATTTTTAAGATGAAGATAAACTGTATGCTTACTTTGTTTTTACACAGATCTCCAAAACATTCCTCAATGCCTCTTTTCCTGGCCCAGTCCAGCAATACTTCAGGATCAAGTACAACAATACCAACAAGACAGGACTGTAAAAAGCACCAGAGATGCAATTGTAAAATATATTTTGGAACACAAACCATAGCAGTACTGTTGTTACAGTAGGTTAACAGAACAGCACAGAATGCTTCACTGAACAATCAGGTTCAGTTTAATTAGCTTATTAAGTGGAACTCCAACAAGGTTCATATTTGTAGTGAAGGAACAAAACCAGCTAATTAAGGCAGCAGAAATCATTCTACGGTCAGTTACATATTATTTCTGTCCTGGAGACTTTGATGTGTAGTTTTTTAAATGAAGACACCACTGTTTGTCATTTGAACATTTGCAGGCAGCCTTAGGCCTCTGATAAAACTAAAGATCAACTATCAAAGCAACATGGGGATTGCACTGAAAGGAAGACATATACTACCTGTAAGCTATCCCCGTGGACATAGAGTTGTGCTACTGGTTCACTCCGGATGTAGATGTTCTCGATCTTTTCTGGCGCAATGTACTCTCCTTGAGCTAGCTTGAAGATATGTTTCTTCCGATCAATAATTTTTAATGTACCATTCTGGCAAAATATAAATAAAAACATAAAAACCTAGATCCTAAAAGCTAATCAAAGGAAACGTAAAATAAGAAAAAGTGTATACATGAACTGTAGAACAAACTATGGGATTCGGAGCTAAAATTAGCAAGAGACAGAATAAACCTTTCTGTACAGAACAAAATAAACAGATATATTGCACAATGCAAAGAAAGAAACAATTTACCTAAAACACTAGGCAAAGTGAAGGGAATCAAGCAAAAACATTTCCGTACACTTTAAACAAACTATAGGTATAATGCATATATTAATTTACTGAATGCAGCATTATTTTTATCCTCTGCTTTAGCAATGCCATTAGTGACAGTTGGAGACTTACAGGCAACCACTTCCCAATGTCTCCAGTGTGCAGCCATCCATCTTCATCCAGGGCCTCGGCTGTTTTCTCCTGGTCTTTCAGGTACCCTTTGAACACGTTTGGGCCTTTCACACACACCTGCATATTCGAGAGAACATTTCCTCATTATGAAGATCTCATTTAGCTCATTGTTAAGTGACTCTGTCATTGTTAACTGTGGCCACGATATTGCAAGAAGGCCAGTGCTACTCTGGGATCAGACAAGGTTACATGACAACAAGGTTAATCCCTGGATTCAAAAGAAATCTGCACACTATCAGGGTAATAATATTAAAATAATAAGCTTTTCATGCAATTTAAATGTAGCATCTCCAAGCGCTTTATAGTAGGTGTAAAATCATAAAAAGTTAAAAAACAGTAAATTACAAAATAAGCATACAGTATAAGAAACACAAGTGGTTAGGGGTACAGCAGAAGATACACTGTCATTAGAAAATGCAGCAGAACAGACACAGACACAGAACAGACAAATTTAATAAAAGCCATTCTGAAAAGAAAGGTATTAAGTCTAGATATAAATGCACTCAGGGAAGGTGACTCTCTGATAACTCTGATGAGCTTTAGGGCATAGCAAGACAAGGCCATGCCCTCTATAGAATGTAGACGGGTTTGGGCGACAACTAGAGTCTGTTAAACAAAGGCTGCAAGGTGGGTCAGATATTGTAGGTACTGAGGTGCCAAGCCATCGAAAACCTTGTAGGTGAGCACAAGGATTATGAAGTAGGGTGTTTCATTTTCTATTTCTACTGTATATACTGTAAATGAACAAAAAGATCCTAAATGCTGGTACTGCTCTCTAAAAATCCCAATGTGAAGGGATGAAGTGTTTAGCAACAGGCGTATGAGCAGGTAGGCTTATGAAAAATTCAAAGTCAATCATGAAGACTACTTCAGGATCTACAGTTTTCTAGGACACAAGTACATTTAGGACTCAAAGTGCATTCAACTTCATCCAGTGTTTTCATATGTAAATAGGCTGAACAGCCACCTCTTTTCTGTAACCTTATTTATTTTTTTTATTTTGAATGTTCAGTCATCTGATTTGATGTACTGTGCTAACAGTAATTCATGTAAGCATTTTTGCTTCTGACGCTTTATAATTGTTACCCAATTACATAGATGCTCTTGCCAGCCAAGTTAATTGTCTGATGCTGATGGAGCAAATCAGCAAAAAAGGGTCTCAGCAAGTCTCTATAGCCAGGTTGGGACTGAAATGCTTTTTAATGGATGAAAGAAAATTAAAAAACCACATATAAGGAGACAGTTTTTTGCAGGAAGAGGGACATTGTGCCACACCGACTGGCTTTAACTGCTCTCACCTCTCCTTCTCCTTTTGAAGCAAAGTAATTCATATCTGCAACATCCACCAGTTTTATTAAATTACAAGGCAGTGGTGCCCCAACATGGCCTGAAATGACACAGTCAATTAAACAGGTTAAAACAGGAAATCAAAAACACGAAGTAGGGAATTTCATGCTTTTATATTCGAATTAGCATATATCATTTAATGGCATATGAAATACTGGAAAAACTTGTATTGCCTGATTGATATAAAGGAACAAAGAATATTTCAGTCAATGCATCCAGTTTTTCAAAAACAAATCGTTAACATCAGTGCTTACTAAATGAAACCACAAGGGGGGGCAGTTTATTAAGGAAACTGTCGAGTGACGGAGGTTAGAGTGTGTATAGTTGAACGAACAAATTAATTCCACGCTGAAAAGTAAATAAAAAAGTTGTAAAATGCATAACTTGGCAGCCATGAAGCTTTCCTCAGAAGTGTAAAGAACAAACAGAGGAATCGGGACTAAGAGGGATGCGGTAGGGAACAAAAAGGGGAAAAGAAACAAAATGTAAGAATGATTGGGTCAAGTTAAGAGTACAAGAACAATGAAACAAAATTCAAGGGGAAGTGCAAACAACATCAGTCTTGGAACTGAAACATTCCATATATAATAAGTGAACTAATAAGTGAGTGCTAAGACAGCTAATAAGTGGGTGCTGGGAAAATGTGTACACCCAGTTGATTTTGATGTCTTTATTGCAGAGTCCTTTGAATCTTGCAAAAAGGACACAGGCCAGCAACGTCAGTGGGATCATGACTAGAGGAGGTGAAATTGTGGATTAGTCTGCAGAGGTCCTTGATCCTCAGTGTTCTGACATGTTCCCTGGAGAAGGCAATCCGTCAGCTTCCAGTTCCTTTGAGGAAGATTGGCAATAAATAAGATTGCTGGACATGCATGATACTCTCCAAGTGAACCTGAACCAGGGACTATGAACTGGAACCAGAAACCGTGTATACGTGTTCTGTCGGAGATATATTTATTGTTGACATAGCAGCTTCTGGTGCAGCAAAAAGTGCTTGGTGTGCACTTTAGCTGTGGACGGTATTAAATAATAGGTGTGGTCGCATGGATCACTCTGTAAAGTTGTGTTTGATGACCCTGGGTAATATGTGGAATATGGCTCTGGATGTGTGTATTCCTCCTGTGGTTGATGTTGAGGAGGAGGGGGTGAGGCCTTGGTCAATGGAGAGAGTCCTGTCAACAAAGAACTATCACATTTTGAGGGCTTTGTTTTGAAAGTTCAGTGGCCTCACTAAATAAATAAAACAAATTTCAGGAAATGGGATTAAGGAAGAACAAATGCATTTTTTTGCAATAGGATCTGCATTGACAACTGTTTAATCTATTTTAAAATCTGCCCAATAGAGTGTACTTTTCGATTCCACCTCATTGTTCCATTGCTTTAACCTTGAGCATTTATCATTCTGTCTTTCCAAATCCTCTCCACTTATTTTTTTGAATTCTTTTGTACAGAATTTAGAGGGGTAGAGAGGATCCATAGCCAAAAAGTTGCATATTTCACTCTTTTTTCTTTGTTCTTTTCTGGGTGAAATCAGCTTCAACTTGCCCATTGGTAATTTGTACACTGACTCAGCTCTCCACTCTAGTGAGTAATTTTGTTTGTATGAAATATAACGTTCAACAGCATAAAGCAGCTCAGCATAAATTTTCACATTAATATGACTTCTACATCTTTACATCCTGTTTCATAGCTGTATATTTTCAGAACAGTAACAAACCCGATTTTTGTGTCAGAATTCCCCAGAGATACATCTCTTGTATTGCGCATAATAGTTCCAGCAGCCCAAATTAGCATTAGCAAAACGCTTTAAACAAAACGGAAAAAGCAGCCCAGTAGCATTTGGAAGACGCCTTTGGGTTAAGGACAAATAAAAAATGCAGCAAGAATTCTCTACGCAAACTGAATTCCTAATGAAGCACACGGAGATCTCCGAGTGGGTTTATCAGATGTAGAAAAAAATCCCGAAAAAAAATTCATAGCATTGTTGCAAAAACATGTTTGCAGAAACACACATGGTGCTCATGACTAAGCAATCGCTTTACATCCACTTCTTATTTGCTTAGGCTTGTGACATTCATGTTGTTGTAAGTAAAACAAATATACGTAACGTAATCAACGTAAAAAAGAAATACAACATTTGCAGGGGAATGCGCCTGGCGAAACGCCAGTGGTGGCCTTTGTTTAACTACATTAATGTTTTTTTTAATCCATTTCCGCATAGCAACAGCAGGCCCACTGCTGTTTCATGCAGTCCTCCAGCTAGTTTCTTCTACTGCTCTACCTGTTTTGGTGAAACAATGGCATGCGACCATGTTATTTGCAAGGGATTAATTTAACGTGATGACTATCCTTATAGCCTTAAAGGTTTACCTCACTTTAAAAGACAAGGCCTTCAAGCTTACCCAGTCAATGTTCTGTTATTTAGTGAAACACAAAAGCTAAAGTGAAAAATGTAGGCAGAGAAGATAAATACGTACCCTGCTTTATAAGCTGAAGTCTCACTAAAGATTTATGAATGCTTGTTTCTCCTTTACCCTATCACACATGCTGTTTACAGTGAAGAACAGGATGTGGGTTCAATAAGACCTTCAGATACTAAGCTGCAAAATAAGGCCAACTTGCAGCTGCAGTGTTGAAACAATGGAAAATTTTATGTCTGTTTACTGAACATTAATAATTAACGTTTCAGCCTATAAAAGTTTTTTGAAAGTTTGAAATTTCACTTGCTTTGCTTATTAAATAAACTATAATGAACACCATTTATCAAACCATTGATACCACTATCTGGATGTATTCATCAAAGTCTTTACTGCATGCAGCAGTTTTGAGGTGCTTGTTTCTGCATCCATTTTCACTGTGATACATTTTTCAAAGAAAAAGACATTTCAAAATGCAGGTATAGAAATATAAGAAACTGTTACAAAAAAACATAACTGCTGCTATTCGAGATAGTAAGATTAGTTTTGAAGTACTCAATTTGGATGCATTTCACCACAGAAACTATACAGGATAAAGTGCTCAGTCCCTGTTGGTCTCTTCTAGATTTGCACCTGGCTAGAGAGCGTGTAAAAGCAAGAATCTTGAAGAGATTGTTAGCTTGGTTCAGACACTTGGTGGAAATTACAAGCACACTAATGCACTACAATGGGAAGCCTGAAATTCCTACTGTTTCAAACTCTCTAAAACATCCTCTTTGAGCTCTAGAACATGTTCAGGTGAAGTAAAAAAGAGGACTGAGCACTAACAAGACATTGCACAGATGAGTTTCTAAGAAATTTTAAAGAAAGCTATACAAATATATGTACTGAATATATTCTGAATGAGCATTAAATGTTTTGTACTTTTTAAACGATATCTTACTACAGAGGTTTTAGTTCTTCTGAGGTTCTGCTCACCTGAAGTCCAGTCACCGGGGGTTGTAAAGGTACATCCAGCAGTGCACTCTGTTTGTCCATACCCCTCATAGACCTACAGCACAAATCATGACAAGCACATTCATGCTTGCACGACAGATAGCATGTTTTGCAATAAATGATACTGTGAGCAAATTCATTTGTCAGCCTTACATTTGAACCAACAAAACACGCTTGTTGTTTTTTCTGCTCCTGATAACGACCCAAGATCAGAAACAATTAAGAAGAACAGTTAAGAAGAAAAAATGAGAAAGGTCTAGAGCAAGGTTAGAACTGGGTGTCTGTATTCACCTGGCAGCCCAGTGCAGCTCGCAGGAATCCCAGGACAGTTGGAGATGCTGGAGCAGCTCCTGTCACGATCATTCGCACCCGCCCACCGAGACTGGCCTGCCAGAGACAATGTGCTGGTTATCCACACAGCTACCCAGCTTCACCAATAACCACCATTGTGCTGTTAACTGATGTGCCATGCCATAAACATGGAGGATAACATGAATGTTGGCCACAATGAAATGCACAACAAAGATTTCCTTAGTCCTTATTATTTTCCTTAGTCTTTTCATGATAAATATAGCATTTTAACTATGCGGTTCTCAATGTGTCTAATGTTGATAATCACAGTGTTTTGAAATCTGCTATGGTGAATCACAATAAGAACAGAGAATTAAAAAAATTCTCATTTGACTATATAAATCCTGACTACTTTTATTATCCTGGTTAAGGGTATTTTTGTGTCTGTTATAGTTTGCTGCTTCTCAGGCTAGCTATGCTCTCCTCCACACAGTCAAGATGCATTCGTTGTTAATGCACAAATTAGATCTGAGGTCACCAAAGCCAGTAATTGAACTGACTCTTCAGGTATATTTATTCTCTAGACGCATTTGATACTGCAGCGTTTTTCACACCTGGATCTTACTGAAGAAGATTTTGTCCCACACACTGTCGTTCCGTATGATCCCACTGTGAACCTCAGCACTTTTCCTTCTGGCAGCAAATTCCAGAAGCCAGCGCTTCACAGGGTTACTGGCTTGGCTAAAGATCTGTAAAACAGTGTGCATTAAAACATTGTGGTCTTCTTTTCACTAATGGGCAATGTTAGCTGACCATTAGTACACCGCAAATCCTTCTCTCTCACCTTGTCATACATTCTGTTGAGCAGCCTGGGTACCACAGGAAAGATGGTGGGGCAAAGTGCTTTCATGTCATCTGAGAGGAGCCTGATATCTCCTTGAAAGAAACCAATCCTTCCACCATGGCAGTACACTACAGACTAGGTACAACACAACACAACACAAGAAAAGCCATTCTCAACTTTCTGCTCAGATTCTCTTTGAAGTTAATGATTGGTTAGCAAATCCACGATGGAATAATTTATTATCCACACTTCCAAAGTCAACATTGAATACTTCAAGTAAGGTGAATACAAAATTAAAATACATTAGGTCTATACATGTATATCCTGAATAAATCCCATTCATTTTGTTCCTTTAGTTTTATTTTAAATCACTAGGTGGCACTCTTGCAAAAAATGGCTATGAAACTAACTCTGCTGCTGTCTCTAATCACCACTCAGCTTTTATAGCTCTTTTAAAGAGATTCACATTATTGGTTGTCAATTCCTCCAGAGTCATTCCGAAATAAAATGCTTCAGTCTTTATTGTATCGTCACTTAAATGTTTCATTTAAACCACAGGTAAAACTGTTTCAGATGTAATTTAATCTACAGTACTTTTAATTTTATAATCCAGTTTTTAAGATTTCCCTTAGAAGAAACAAATTGACATTTAAAGAGAATTTCATTACAATTACAATTCACAAACACTAATCGAGATTTATTGTCATAGGTTGCACAATTTGATGTTTGTTTTAAACTATTCTGTCAAGGTGCCAAACAGGAAGTGCTCCATGCCTTAAAGCTTTAAGTGACCACACTTTTTAAATCCTTTTAGAAAGCTACAAACAGGATGAATCATGATCAGAATGCTTATCATTTTTCCATCAAACCAGGTACAACATTTTTGTTTTGATCTTAGATTTGTAGATTGGCATACAGTGGAAAAAGAAGAGATCGGGACATGTTCCTAATTCTGAACTCTGCTGACAGAGATACAACAGCCGGCAAAGATCCAGAGTATGGGGCCACTAACAGACTTGACAGGCAGTGAAAACCACAGGAAGGGTGTGGGTGAACTTCCCTAAGCTGTATCTCACAGTTTCACATTGATTGAAACAGTGCTACAAGGTTTCCCCTGTGAATGTGTGCCTTGATATATTCATCATAGCATTTCTGCTCTAATATTAGAATTTCATAACAGTTTTGCTGTGGTTTCCCAATGCAACAGAGAATGTATTAGTTCAGATCCCACTGGTGCTGTGGGTTGTCTACTAATGCTGTATTATTGTCCTTAATACAGAGGTTGAAACTCCGCTGTGTTGTTGACAGCACTGGGATTGCTTATGGAGATTTGCAAAAAATAATACAGAAAAATACATATCCAAGTTCAGGTTAACTCCTAAAGATTTGGTTACAGAATACAGTTTATCTCAATGTTTAATCTGGGTGGTTCTGGATAAAGCCCAGGGAAGCTGTTGAAGAATATCACAGTAACAATCACAGTAACATCTGTGTCATAAGAACAGAATAAATAACCTTTTTAGGATTCCTACTGTAAAAATAATTTTGATTAGAATGATACTCAACATCATATTTTTTTTTAATTCCTGTCAAAGATATAGCCTTATGTAGATGAAAGTGTTTCCCTGATTGATGTTTCTCCACAAAGTATAGGTTTGTCCAGAAAGCATGGTCAATAAAGGAAGGGGACAGGTTAGCTTTTATTTTCCTAAGTGATCTACAATTATAAATATACATGTGATATACAAGTCTTACAATCTTGTTCATATAAATTAAAATGCCCAGTAATTTACCATAATAATTTACTGCCCTCCTGTATCTGGTAACAGAATCCCTAGAATACCTATTTTATTTAAATATGACAGTGTTTTTTACTTGAAATTTTTTATTTATGCACTGATAATGATTCAATAGCTCATGAGTAATTAAGTCTTTTACAATTGCTGGATTTTGTTAAGTATGTCACTGGGCCCACAAAACAGAAGGGTACTTGGGTATACCACACCATCAACATAATATTGGGGGCAAGGGCCACCATTTTTCTTGACCGTCTGACTTTGGAGGTGGAGGTGATGTGGTCAGCATCACACTCCGGTTGGACTATTACCCCCAGAAATATTAACCCCCAGTACTTATTTGGAAAGCAGGCTGGGTGGAACTGGGAGCCGTCTGGAAGGAATTAGAACAAGCTATATCACTCACCCCTACTTGGGATTGAACCCAGAACCTTCTGGTGAGGAGCTACAGTAGGTGCCCTTGCCATCTGAACTACCATTTAACAGAATGGCCCCAGAGCATATCACAGAGATGCTGTCTACCTATAAGTTTCAACATGCCAAGGGAGGGACTTAAGAGGAAGACATTAGTCAGTTTCAGTGTGCAAGCACTGTGACTTTGAAACTCTCTTTCTGTGCATATCAAAGGCTCTGCTCTGCTGTTGATTTTTAAAGAATAGGATTAAGACTTACTTTCAGAACTTTGCATTTTTAAAGTGGTTGCATTCTCTTGTTTGTGTGTATTACCATGCGTATACAGTATGTTATTTGTTGTCAGTTTTTAATTAATTAATTTTAATTATTTATTACTTTCAAATACAGTTGTAAAAGGTTCAGCTCATATTGTTACTTATTGTTTCTTTGGTATATTCATAACTTACTGGAATGTGTTTTGATGAAACCCCTTTTGATGTTAAGAGGCTTTCAACCAATAATGTTTTATTAATATTTAACATTCAACTTTTCTATGCTTTATTTCATGGGAATGATGCTGATAATAAAAAAACAAATGTTTTAAATAATGCACTATGGTTCATCCATGATCTTTCTCATTATTGTCTTACCTGGTCTATCCTTTCAAATGAGTGCTAAAGTCAAGCAGGAAATGAGTCTGGACATCTGGAAGACAAAGCAAGGTGGCCATACCAGTGACCCAGTTAGACGACCCCCCTTACCTGGATGAGTCTCTCAAACATGTGAGCAAGAGGCAGGAAAGAGATGAGCACGTCATCCTGCCTGGGAAAGATGACTTTCTGCAGCAGGGGCAAGGGCATGGGAGACAGAAAGGAGAGAGATACTGACAGAAAAAATAATCATAAGAAAGTAGCGAAAAAACGAAAGGAAAAAGAGAGAAAAAGCGAAACAATACAAGGTTTACGGTGAAGAAAAAAAATAACGTGAAAGCCGCATAGTAAGGCAGGGTCAAAGAAAGACATTAGTTAAGATACTTTGGGTTCCAATGACCAGCAAAGTTGCTGGTCTCTTGCACATGTACTGTACTGTATATACAGTACAATTGACTGGAATTGTGTTTTCTTCATACAAGTGGGTACTTTTGACGAAACCCCACTGTATTTTGGAAAACCAAAACACAAAAAACTGTGACTCCCCAGATCCTTAAGTCAACATGTCATACTTTTAACTAAAAAAAACTTAATCAATTAAACCACTATTAATGCCGTATGTGTGCATTCACAAGATTAACCTATTATTAAAATGTTCATAAAGTATAAATGACTTCTATTTACAGAGAACTAATGTTATTTTTAAAAAATTATATCGGCATTAAATTTAGTTTTTTTCAAATTAAAGGAATCTTGATTTTAAGTATTTTTTAATTAGTTTTAAGAAGTATGTTTTTTTAGTCACTACAATTGGGTAACTTTACCTTTAATGTACAGACATACAGTAGTAAAGTTTGAAAAGCTAATTCTGTGGAAGAAGGGCACAGAGCAAGCATTAGCAGTGATTTTGGGAGCCAATCAATGCACATACATAAGAGGTACCCTAGGTATTGAAATTTAATTGTCCAAACATGTTGCACACAGAATATATTCAAGCTAGTTAAGTAACCCAAACTGTAAAGACTAGGTTGAAATTAATCTGTTCAGAATTATCTTAGTTAAGGAGACAAGGCTATAGACACTTCCGGGATCAAGTTTAAGATCACATTCTATTTGAGACTTAACATCTACAATGTTGAATTTAAGGATGTAAACAGTCTGATGTCTATTAAGAGCCAAAATAGTCATACTGATAAATGGGAAGGTACACAGAAAAGATAATCACACTACTTTTTTGTTTTTAGTATTTTTCTCCATGGGCACCTACCTCGGTAACTTTAAGGAAGCCAGAAAAATCTGCAACAACATTCCCATGAGTTAACATCACCCCTTTAGGATTTCCTAGAAGAATCCAGGTAAAAACATCAATAAAATCGTTTCATTTTGACTCATTGTTTGTCACATACATAGGTGGTGTTTCTCATGGTGAAGATAAGAATCACGAAACTGCTTAATTCCTACACTTACTCACACAAGTGATACTCCCCTGTCCCTGACTCATAAAAATATAACAGCTTAACAACTTTCAAGATAGGTGAGTCATTTTAGGTTAACCACCTTAACTGACCCAGTCAAGACCCTAAGTAATAATTATATATTTTTATAGAACTGATATGAACTCTCAGAGTCCTGTGTAGAGAATGAAAGAATGATTTTCAAAGATTTAAGGTATCAGAGTCTCTGAGGAAATTTCACAGCTACTGTATGATCTCCCATCTGAATTTAATTTACTTCTATGTAGTTAGGAACCAAGCCTTTCAAAATCTTCAGACATGAGCCAACATAGGAGTTACATTGTCATTGGAACCAGATTTAGATAATTATTTATTACCAGTTCTGAGCATTTAATACTCCAGTATAATGCACAGACAGTGCACTAATGAGCATTACGATAATTTATTCTTAATGCAATAAAAGCATGAACAAAAACACAAGCCAAATCCAATTAATAAACTTCAGAGAGGTGAGAACAAACATTAATAGTGATACAAACTTAAAATAGTAACAGAATATGAAAAATTATTTAACTTGTATACAGTATACATATACATATATATTTAATTCCTCTTTGCTTTTAAATTATGCTAATTACAAATTAGATTATCTTCTTTTTCAAAATTATACCATTTTGTTATAACTATTTTATATAATAATGAACTACTAATAATTCTGGACCAAAGTCTATAGACATTAGTATTTAATGTTATTTACAGTACTTGCAGGCCTTGAAAAAATGGCCTAAAAAGTCAGTCAAACTTGTCAGTGAAGTCACTGTGAAGATTTAACCAGTCTGATGGACACCATAGTTAAACAACTATTACTCAAAATATAGCTTTTCCTAAGTGTTTAAGAAACAAATGTAGCTCATAATGTAGAGTAAATACACAACATCATGTAAAATACTACTGGCATTTCAATAGGTAGTTAATAAATTGTTCTGTTGTTTGTATACACTGATGTTTACATAGATAGGGAAGTTGCAGCATGCATTGTGTAAAACAAAACACAAAAAATGTACAGTAGATTCGATATTTGATATGACATCTGATCTGGAGTATAGTTACAAACATACAGTACCTGTTGTGCCACTGGTAAAACACACAATGGACAAGTCATCTGGCTGAGGAGGCTACACAGAAACAAATGGAAAATAAGATTATTTTTTATTTGTATGAAAAGGGACATATTCATGTAAATGTAACCTTTTTTTATGCAGTTGCCTTACAGATATGTCTCAACAAACTGAAATCAGATCTGAATGCGTGCCCCCACAGGGCAAATATAATGTGAAAAAAGTCATTCACCAATGTTTACAGATCCAAAACACAAAAAATGACTGTATCATACTCTTTGAGTCTACTGTTCTTTGTGTTCCAATGTTCTTTGGCAAATTTAATGTACTGTATAAATACAAGGAACTTATACATGTTGCACATTTTCACATACTTTTACAGTGGTAAAAATACTAAAATAATAACCTCATAAGTATTAACTACCTATGTTTTATGTCTTTGTCCACTAAAACCTTTTCAAGGGAGTATATTCCATCATCTAAATATTCTCCATCTGCTAAAAAGCTGAAGACTTCTGATTAGAATGCAAATTAGACACAAAGGGTATAATGTACCTTTGAATCAAGACAAAAAGTTTAAAGGATTAAGTACATAGTGGGGCTGTGGTTTTTATCATTAAACTTCCCTTTAAAATCTTCTACACCTACCCTGCTGAGACCAATTCCACATAGAAGGATGTGCCTTTAAAAATCTTGCATTATCATGGAAAGTACAGACAGTACAGACCTGGTTGATGGCTTGCATTCAAGGTAAGTTTGCTTTCCCTGTCTACTGAACAGGATTCAGATGGAAAATAATCAATGAGGACTTACCAGGGGAACTCTGTGGTGTGCTCTCCCCGAAGTCTGGAGGGAACAAAAATATAAGAACAAAAACCTCCATCATTGCTCAAGACTATGGAAGCTTATTAGCACCATGGAGAAAAAATATTTATTGTGTTTATTCAACTGAAGACAGGCTTGCACAAAAGTAATCAGTGCCAAAAAACCCGACAAAAACAGCTTTCTATCTAATTTAACAAAAATCCTGTCGCTTTAAATACACAGCACCAGATGTACTTATGAAAACAAAAGGAAGAACTATAGTTATTGAATGTGATCATGCAATACAGATTAACAGCTTTTGTGCAATAATGAAATACAGCCAAATATAGTACTAAATGGATGTGCTACACCTTGTTGTCAGGCAGCCCATCCAAAAGTGCCACAAGCGTAGGCAATGATACCACTGAAGAGATTTAACTACGTGGTGCACAGAAATAAAAAAATTCTGTTTATTTTTATACTCAGCAAAATTCATACAATATATTTATGAAAAAAGTGGAATGTAACTGTGTAAAAGAACCTGTTCTCTAATTAGGGTATTAGAAACTGACATTTATTTAATACCCGTAGGGAATGCAGGCAGAGCTGTCTCTGTTCCTACCTCAACTTCCTTTATAGACTGAATGTGCACTCCACATCCGACACCCCTCTCCACCAGGGAGCTGTCAAAAGGGTCCATTACGATGACAGTCTTCAGTCCTGGTGTCTCCTTCCTCTCCACATTCTCCAGCAGGACCTGAGCCTTTCCTGGCTTGTCACATATAACTGTGGAGATCTCCGCTGAAAAATCAACCCACATGGGAAAAAAAAAACTTTTTAAAAGCTGCTTCAGTCTGAAAGACATTTCTCAAGAATTGACTCCTAAGAAAGTTTTGAAGGCTCCCCACGTAGCGTTAGCAGTTACGGTGCTCTCTTAGTGTGCAGGTTGGAACCTATGGCTCAGATATCACTGGTCTCAGTTTGGATTATGTCGGTTGATGCTGGGGACCAGTCCTCAAGTTAAGGAGCACGAGTTCACAGTGCACCTCAAGGGCGGGGGCACTACTGGGCTAAGCCCTTGTCTTTAAACTAGGGACCTGGAGGCTATCTTTGACAATTGATGAGATATACAGTATACCTCAACTTATATAAAGTATACAGCATGTAGGCAGTGAGATATACAGTATATGTCACTTTATATACAGTATACACCATGTAGCCAGTGAGATACCTGTATATACCAGCAGTAGCTCTCCTTTAAGGTGCTTTGGAGCTTGCTACATGTCAAAAGACGAACAGCTCAGACAGAGGAGCATGTCTGCTAGTCCTCCTTTTCCCTGTGCAGTACAGGGGTCATAGCCGTAAGTTGCAAATAATAATTGCAAAATTCAACAAGGGTGAGGTGTGGTTATTTACTGATGAATCCAAGAAAACAAAAGCTATAATCATAATGTAATGTCTACATAAAAAGATTAATTCAAACTGTAAATGAAAATAGGATTATATTTCTAGTAATTAAGTTGTAATACATACAGTGAGTAGAAATTATGAATGTATTATGTTAACAACAGAGCCACATAATGCATAGTACCATAGGGAATGCCTAAATTTCAAATAGAAATGCACTATTTATACAGAAATATATGGCATATAGGAGACATCATCTCTTACCAGTGTTGATAATGTAGCGAATAGCATCTGGTCCTAAGGTATCATAAAGTGGTACTACCACCATAGAGTAAGTGTAGCAGGCCAACTCTGAAATAATCCACTATAAATGGAAACACAAAATGAAAACAAACATTATGACTAGGATTTATAAACGTTGAGGTCACAGTTTACCAACCATTACAGTAATGTATCTCTTGTCATTTTATTCTAGCACAGCTCTTCATTAATTAAGGTCGCTGAGCCCTTAATTCATGTTTTTAAATAGTTTAAGCCCTCAAAAAGTGGGATGGTGTTAGAAAAAAGCATGAACTCCCCATACCAGCTGCTAGATTTCAGAACCCCTCACATTTAAGATAAATGTTGAAAGGTGTTAAAAGTTTATACTCCAGGAGGAACTCAACTAATTAGGTTACGCATCACTAAGGATGCTTATAATGTGAGTGACTGCCACAGTGTCTCAAAAAATGTCCTAAAGGAACTCATTCCCTTCGTTCACCAGTGAAATGGCAGCCTCAACCTGGGTGACACACAGAAGCCCTTGTTCAACAATCTGTCCATTACACAGTAAGTAAAGTGGAGAAGTGAGAAATAATTTCACTATTTAAATAAAGAGGAAAATTTAGGTACGCCAGATTCTGAATACCCAAAGCTTAAACTAGCTAGGACACTGGGGTTAACACATGACACCAGTTCTGATATGTAGGAAAAAGTACCATCTGATCTTAATGACCAGGCCCAAGCTTCTTTAGTATCTGAATACTGTGACAATCAGGGTACAGGATGCCAATGCTAATGGTTAGAAATCAATACAATATCATTCCTTCTATTTAAAACAATGTTGCAATGGTCACTAAATATTCCATTAAAGATTTAAAACAGATGTCAAGGCAGCCAAAAATATCACACACAGCACACAGCACACAGCATTCTCACTCATTCTGTTATATTCATAATTTCTAGGTTCTGCCTCACCTCTGGCCTGTTTTGTGCAAATACCCCAATGAATTGGTCAGGGCAAGGTCTGCAGCCCTGGAATATCAACCCTGACCCCAGATGCTCTGCCCTAGAGATAACCTAGAAGAAAAGATTTTGATAGACGGAAATTCCTTCAGTGTTCTTCCTGTAAAACCAGCACTTGCAAATCTGCAAAAGGGTTACTAGGGTTTAGTTCACAAGATGGTGAGCCAACTGGCCCAAAGCCCAGCTGGATAGTACAACACTCAAACCTACAGTACTTTCATAGTGGAGTCATAACGATTGCACTGTAAACAGTGCACTGTAAACACACTATTACACACAGAATTACATAAAGAGAAGCCAGTTTGAAGATAAGTCAATTATTAATGATCTACAGGATTACACTGCAAAATAATGCAAAGCTAAAATTATTTTATTTCCCTATAAAACTGAAGATAGAGATGAAGTCTATATCAGAGCTCATGCTTGTTCCTGGATTGTTTAGCAGACTAAAGAGTGACTTCCACCAGGTGGGACACCAGTCAATCTAAGGGGATTATTTCCCCAGCAATGTCCAACTGGGGGAAAACTTCTCTCAGGGAACAATAGCAGTGTCTGCAGCAACAAATCAAACCCACAACCTACCTTTTATGAGTCCAAAGACTTATCCACTATGCTGTCCAGCACTCCTCTCAAAATCAAGCAAATTTTAATATCAAAATGATGTGCAAGTGAAAAACTAACAATTTGATCAGAATTATTCTGCAATTTAAGAGTAAAATGTACTCAAGAGCAAGATGCTCTTCCTGCTTAGTTTTGAAATTTGCTCAATAAACTAGGAGAGGACTGTGAAGTCAAAAAGAGGGTTTGAAATCGTATGTATATCATGCTTGTGTAATGTGATGTCAATTAAACATGGATTAATTTAAAATAACTTCACTAAATAAAGAGAAACATTTTGGGTAGAGCCAATGCTAGTTCATGTTGAAAGAGATAAAAGATTTTAATGAATAAGGATAAAGCTTCTATTTGAGCTACCAGTATATTCCATAAATAAGGAATATATTAATAAGACTCATTTCTTAATCTGGTACGCTGCAATATTATTAGGGACCGAAATAATGCTTCAATTAGATTTAGAAAGCACAGAGTTTAATTTATTGGTGCATTCCAAATACATCTGACACCTCTGTTACTTGTCATCTCATTGTGTAAGACAAACAAAACAGAAGGCTGGAAATTAGGTCCATATATACAAATGTGTTAATGTATGTGCTCTAGTGACTTAATTTATTTCAAACACTCAGCAAAGTCTACAGCATTTTCTAGATTTGAGTAATTTCTAAATTAAAAGATGGTGCCTGTGTCTACTTAACTAGCTGATGAGTCCTGAAGGGTAATGCTCTAATTGCATTTTGAAACAAAATATTTAAATATTTACTGCACTTAACAAATGCAATTCTTCTCGTCAGGGGAAAGTGCTATACGCTGCTCTTCCTGTTCATTTTAAACAAGGTCTTAACTAGACAAAGAATCCAGCAGCAGCCCCCCACTGCTAACAAATTTACTCACCTCCTTGTAAGACAGCCACACATATGGCTGGTTGGGATGTCGGGATCCTAAACAAGGTCCATCTCCTGCTCAGACGAAAGAAAAGAAAGAGCAATGACCTGAAAAGTCATTTACATTACATAGATTTCTGTAGGGACTGGAAACATAAACATCCTATTCAGATCATGCGATTATGATATTGAGACAAAGCAAAACAGGCTGAAGTGATTAAGCAAGAACAGAGCACTGGAAACTGTGCATCATCATCCCAGGGAAAGGCTGTGCAGTTCCTCACTTGGAAGCAGGGAAATCAACAGCACCTGTAAGAGACCTGACTTCCACACTGTATAATCAAGTAAGCCCAGCCAAAAGGTGTCTGCAGCTGGAGATCGGTATCGTTGTGACGTAATATGTGACAATTAGTATTAGCTGCTGAAATTAACTTTAGAAACATTGCAGTAGACAAATGTTCTATCTTTAAAATTCTTGACCTCTGGCCAAACTGTAACATCTAGGCTACTCTCCAACCAGATACAATAATATTATATAATGTATGACTTACAATTTAAAATATAAATGATGATTTTATTATTATTAAATAATACTATTATATGACAGGTATGTACTATAATATTATATATTATATAATATACTGTATTTCAGAACTAGTGCAGAACTAAGGAGAGAATAGCAAGGGAGTGTTGGGAAGCACTGTACTGATCCTGCCTGAGTGAATTTTTATACCCTAAACAGGACACGTGTAGGTCCTTCAAGTCACGCTTCCCCAGAGAAGGATCTGTCACTATATATAGATTTTCAGGTCTGCTGAACCTCTTGCAAAGAATCAACTGTACTGTATTTGCTCCATAAAATACACAAATGAGGCTGGTGGGAGAGAGGCAGCAACTCCGGCACTTTGTAAAATATTCCTTGATGTCTTGATGTCATTTATCAGATACACACCAGCTATGTGTAGCCCCCGCTGGAACACCTCATACATGGTCTTGGCATCATCATGGTAATGAGTTAGCAGCTTGGGAGTGTCCCCCAGTACTGATCTGTGGGCTCCATCACTGTGCTGTATGGGGAGAAGAAGAAGCACATTGTGATCTCAGAAGAAAGGCAAAAGAAACATAAAATGCAGATTCTCAAGTCTTCCAATGCAGGGCTTGTGTCATTTTTAAGGAGATTTTGAAACGTAAGGACTTATATTTAAAGAACATGTATGTTTTTGAATTCAAGAAAATTTAATTTTGCTCATTTCCTTAGCTTGCGTTTTTTCAAATTGAAAAAAGATATTCACAATACTTAATAAATCCATCCATCCATCCATCCATTTTCTAACTGCTTTATCTAATATGGGGTCACAGGGAAGCTGGGGTCTATCCCAGCAAGGAATGAGCGCAAGGTAGGTACACCCTGGATGGAATACCAGTCCATCGCAGGCCATACACAGACACAACACACCCACACCCACACCTGGGCTAGTTTTCTCAGAAGCCAGTGAACCTTCTAGTGTGCCTTTGGACTATGGAGGTTAACTGGAATACCCAGAGCAAACTCTAGTAAACACAGGGAGAAAATTCAAACTCCACACAGAAAGCACCACAGTTTGGAACTCAATGCAGGTCCCCAGTTCTGTGAGCCAGCGATGCTAACTACTGTGACACTGTATGTATGTCTGGCCCCCTTTTAGGGTAAAATACTGAAAGACATGTCAAAAGGGCATATGGTTGCAACAGGTAATTCCTGTCTTATATATACTGATGGAAAAAAGAAATGCATCATTTTCTGGAATGAGAATACTATAGTTATAGCTTATGTACTTCCACAAAAAGTTGTCAATTTGTTTTAAGTCCTCCAACCAGCAATACAGCTTGTGCAGTGAGGCATTGCAACTTGCCGATCACATGAAAGCTTGTTAGGTGCACTTTTACCCAACGAGGTCCAGGTGGAACAATGTCTGATCAGGTCACCTTTAAAAAGGCCTTAATTCAAAGCTTAGGTCACTGCAAGAAAAAGGCCACACTTAGTCAGTTTTCTGTGCATTCCATAATGCCTCGAATGTCACCAGAAGCAAGGGAGAGGACCATTGACATGCTGCAGGCAGGCATGCCATGTGCCAGTGTTGCCAGACACTATGGAGTAAGCCGCTCCACTGTGTCACAACTGCAGAGAAGGTTTCAGCAGACCAGCGGGACAGATGATTGTCCAAGACCTGGTCACCCTCGAGTGACCACACCAGAGCAGGACCGACACATCAGACTGGTCCATCTGAGAGACCGTTTTAGATCTGCCAATCTTACTGCTGCTGAAACTGCCAGCAGACACAATTCCCACATCAGTGACAGGACAGTGAGGCTCCATGCTGCTGGCCTTAGAGCAAGGCGACCTGTCAGAGGCCCTCTGCTCACACCTCCTAGACGTCACACCCGACTGGCTTGGGCCAGACAGAGGCTGTGATGGACTCATCAGCAGTGGCATCAGGTCCTCTTCACGAATGAGTCACTCTTCAGCTTGTTCCATGCAGACGGGAGGGCATGAGTGTGGAGGAGGAGGTGTTGCATTTCTTTTTTCCATCAGAATTTATTCATTATGAATGAATACTGCAATAAATATTTCCTGATTTCTTATTTGATTCAAATTTGCTGCCTTGGCAACTAAGCAATTGCTTGGCTTTGCTTTATCCGGACACTCTCGGGAAGTGCAAAAGAAGGAAAACACAGGATCCACTAGACAAGAAAATAAATACCTGTGTCTACTGATGGGCTAAAGATAGGGCTGAAGAAAAACAATACACAAAAACTTGGCATGGCACTAAGGATGCATAAAATGTAAAGCATTCAGGTAGTAAATATTTCATGGTTTCTATGCAGAAAAATCTAAAAGCTAAATATAGTGACAGCTGTTATGCGAATATAGCAATCGAGAAGAGGGAAGATGACTACAAATGTTTCATACAACCAGGAATTCAAACATTTCAGAGCCAGAATTATCATGCAGCAGAAGACTCAGTCCTGTGTCTTCACGGGGTATGAAAAATGATATTTTAGACATTTAAATACCATAATACTACAATTAATAATATAAAACGGACAGATAGTGGGAAAATATACAGTGGTGAGAATTTTCTGAATTTCTGCATAAATGTTCAGACATTTAATGTTGGATCATTTTGATCGATAAATGAATGAAAAAGTATATCATTGTGTGTGTTATTTGTTTTATTGGGTTGCCTTTATCTATTTTTATGACTTAGATGAAGATCTGATTACATTTAGGTCACATTTATACAGAAAATCTGAAAATTACTTTCTAGCACCACTGTAGTGTGGTTAGCAAAATGTATTACCACCTGTTTGACAGTTTGAATGTCTTAATTGTTAATAAGATTTTTACTATGGAGAAAAAAAACTACATTAGTGTTAGCCCTACAATTGTATGGTAGGGGTCAGAGAGAAACTATGACCTAAGGCAATTATTTTTATGGACAAAGAGGTTCTGGAGTTCTGCAGCCAGTGATGTCAAGAATTAATCAATAAAACATGGAAAGAGTCTGCTCACCTCAACTTCCTGAGACTGCTGGGTGAGGTCACAAGGAGGTTTCATGGCTTTTGGTCGTGTGGCGAGCCAGTAAGCTATTATAGCCGCCAGTGCTCCGATGCCCATGAGTGTGGAAGCAGGGAGAGAGTGGAAGAATTGGCTGAACTCATCCAATTCTGGCAGCCTTAGACTACGTAGAATCTCCTGAGCCTGCATCTTCTCCATCAGCGAATTACTGATCTCTGCCCAGGAGAGAGAAACATGCACCACACCCTGTGATGGCGGCACATATCCAATACATAGACAACAACCTTGAGTGTGTTGAAGGGCACTACTCAATAATCCTCTCATTTGTTTCCACAGGAGAAACTAATTCCTTAATTGATTAATTGTACTCATTAAGTAATTAAGGATATGCCAGTAACTGATCCCTGCAATGCTGAGAAAAGGAAGAGTTATAAGTTGTGCAACAGCACAGTTATTTAGAATGAATTACACTATTTCTAAAAACAAAACTGGTAAAACTGCTCCCTTTTTATGAAGCCATAACAGAGTCAAGCACTTTGGTAAAACAGCTTGACATTTCAACGTCCATTTTTAACATGGTAAGGGCTCTGATAATAAAGGCATCAAAGTTAAAAAACACTATTAAACAGTGTAAAATCAATTGGTATATACAGGTATAGAATATAACAGTAATGAAGTTTGAAATGAAGTTTGTAATGAAATATGGCATCTTAAAGTACAGGTACACTTCAAATGCATATAATAATAATAATAATAATAATAATAATAATAATAATAATAATAATAATAATAATAATAATTTCTTACATATTACCCAAGGAAGTCTCTACAACTGCAATGTTGTACTTTTTCTCTTTGTTATTAGTTTTAGCATGAAATTAACTTCTGTTTATTTTCCTTTGCAGACACCCATACTAATTTTTTAAAAATCTATAAATTTACTTGAAACTAGTTTATTAGTAACCCTTTAATGAAATAAAAGGCTATATCAGACTATACCCTTGATATTAAAATCAGAACTATAGTCTCACTTACCTAGTTTACACTCTCAAACACCTTTTCAATGAATTGTGGAATTAAGATGTATGTAACAACCTCTTGAATACTTACGACTATTGTGACTAAAGAAAATTCAACATCCCATACATTACAAAAAACATTTAAATTTGATAATTTTATAATTGAAAAATAAAATAAAAATAAAAATGAAATGCAGGTACCGTAGAGCTGTTACTTGCAGTCAATGTAAGAGAACCTACAGTATACGAAATGCCCTCACCAGAGAACAGTCTATTTCACATTTAGTTTTATTCCTTAAAGCCCTTTAAAATTGACTGCCTGTAGAAAAACTGCACAACCACAAAGTGAATTCAGTACACTTGATTATGAGATTTCAATAGTGTTACTAATGACACATGCCAAACTAGAGATAAGAAGAGAAACTGATTCAAAGTTCAAAGTTTTTTTCTCCACAGTTTACACACGGGATAAAGACAAACTTGGCAACTAACTCAAGCACAGTGTCTGATGCTTACTGTGTTTGATTTATAGTGAAATATGTACATTTATAGTACTTCTGAAAGGTATATATAATGTATTTTGTTAGCATTTTAGGATTTTTACATAGAATATTATCCCTTCCATATTATTTGGACACACTAGTGAAAGGGTTTTTTTTTATTCCCAAGTAAAACCTAGACACCAACACTTCAAATCAAAGCCACTTTGTCACTTTGCTACCACACAGTGCTGCTTAGGTCACACAACCAGTAATGTCTTGAGTAATGCAAGAACGAAGTCCCTTTCAACACTTACTTCAAAGAGAAAGGGACACCTTCTATAACCTTGTTAGAGAGAGACTTGAGAAATGATTTACAGGCTGGACATTGTCTTACTGAGAGCTGTAATGAGGGCTACACATTAACAAAATACTGTTATCTTTTCAAAAGGGCAACCTAGGGATTCCTGAAAATGTATGTGGCATTCTGCTTATTATTATTATATGGAATGAGAGCCAAGTCTTTTAGTTAGAGCAATCACAACAGTTAGGGCAAGGATCAACAACGTTTTCAGGAAGAGTGCCAAAAGTCTGCAATGTCTGCTTTGAATACTGGAATCTACAGTTTCTTTGTGCAGTACACTACATAAATAAATGCAGTAGAAACATAAATAAATAGGTAATGGCTCAGTCTTTCATATATCTAACTTGCAGTTTTTGCTGGTCATAATTATGAAACTCTGTGGTTGTAACCGTAACATTTCTGAAAGTTCATGAAATACTTTGAGATGACTTGATGTTTTCTCTAGTTTGAGATACACATTCTGAGTAGCAATTTAGGGATTTGGTTTTGGACCAAAACGTTCACATTCTTTTAACTATTATGTGTTAGGCTCACTTTAATTTCTTTCTTAGTCAATTGTGTGAAATATATGTCAGAACATGACATGAAAATGGATACCTTGCCCAGTAAAATGTCTTAATGTACTACAATACGCTCTGTGCCAGAAGTTGCCCACCCCTGAGTTAGAGGGTGTTTATTTTGTTTGGGCATGCCACAGTTCAGTTGGAAAATTTGCTTATGAAAATGCTGCTTGTGGCTGGAAAAACTGGCCCCAAGTATGAGAGGGTATTAAATAATGCATTCTGAAACATCTGCATTCTTTAATGAATAACAATATCAAAAGGTTAAATAAAAGACGCATTACCATGAGGATGCTGATACATCTATGTCTGTAAAAATTTCAGTTGATAAAATGTTCCTCTATGAACACAGAGCTACAGCTAAAACCCCAATGAGACCTGTTATATTAATTTGCTAATCATGAATAGGGTAAAAATAACTCCACATCGTAACACAGTTACAGCACATTCAGCAGAACTGTGGAATCAGCACATCATGGGCCATAGATCCATAGAAGACTCAATATTTATACACACAGAATATTCATCTAATGTTTCAGATGAAAATCATTAACTGAAGCTGGGAAAAAGCTAATGCTGCACTGCCTGACATATCTCATTGTATAGTCGAACCTTGACGAATTCCAAAATAAATTTTATGTCTAAAAGTACATATATGGACTAGTGTGGAATATGGTACATTATTTGTGTTCAGCCTTTGGGCCTATACAGTGCATAACTGTACCAGCACTGCTTAACTTCAGCAGAACCAACTGACACAATGTCTGAAATATCACTTGATAGGATTTCATGTACAATCTGGCCAAAATCATATCAATTCATTTTATGAATTTCTTAAAGATTTAAGATTGCATATATAAGATAATAAAATTATTTTAAGAAAAATTGTTTAGATACATTTTAGTTATACAGGACAGTATCATAATCTATTCCAAATGATAAATTGATTTAAGCCATTTCTAAAAGCCATTAATTATTATATACATTTCGTTCATGGTTCTATCAAACACAAAAAAGATATTAATAAAACTATTTGATTTCACTTCACCAATAAATGTGTTTTGTTTACAAAAACATTCACTTCTTTCAACACTTCTTGTATTATTACCTACTTACCTAATGGTTTTGAGAATGATTACTTTTCAAACTAGTTCATTAACAAGAAAATAAAACAACAATGACATTCAACATTTCTTCATTAATAAAAATAGCCAATGAGTCTAAAAAGCCCCCCTTCCTTGTGTGTGTGTGTGTGTGGGGGGGGGGGTTAAAATGTTGTATCGGCTGCATGATTGGATCATATAGGATCATTAATCTTTGTCTTTTCAAAGCCCCTCTTTATTATGTAAAAGACGTCACTGTTATATGTTATGTTGCAACCACATTTCCTTTCAAAGCAAACTATTTTGTAATGTTTTGTAATGTTAGTAATGTTAGTACAAGGCTTTGGAAAACTTACTTTTCTTTATAAACCTATGGCAGAAATATGGTCCCTTTTGAGGGCTGTCGAGGTTATATTTCAACTAACAGGGAAATCAACAGTAAACAGCAACAGAGTATTGACCTTGTTATCTTAAATGATTTGCCCTATTCATTTCCCTCGAACCATTTCCAGGTGAAAGTAGGTCCAGCAGTCACGAGAGGCTACCTTTCATTAGCAAAGCCTGGTTCATGGAAAGAACTCTATACGCAAGCAAACATCAGGCCATCCTGTGTGGCCACACTTTTCAGTTATTTCTTTGTTCCAACACCCCCAGCATCATTTGAATATTTAGCAGAACTGATATTCTTAAATTCTTAAATGGGGAAAAGGGCTGCGTATGACTTTCAAAAGTAGGAGTCAGGCAAAAAACAGATCATATCTGGCCTGACTCCCACATCTCTCCTCATCTACAAACTGACAGGAGCAATTAGGATTCCCTACTACAGGATTACAACCTATTACCAAAGATAGACTGCTGGCCAGAGGTAATCCTGCTGTTTATTTTTACTTTTATGGTCTTCAGACATTAAATTGTTTTCTTCTCAGCAATATCAGCTGTCCTACAAATTATTTTATTAAATATCAATTAATTTAAATCTCATCAAGTTACTAAAAAATACATACAGAGGAATGTCATATGAGTTCAAGACATGTCAACAAGTGTTTTATTTGTTAACAAGGGCACCTACAGTAAACCATAAAGATTCTAAGGGTGGGCTTCTCTCCTCATCTTTATAGTGTTACAGCTTTAGGTGACTGAGTAGTGTCTCTTGGATTTTAGATAAAGTTTGTGACACTTGGCAGAGTAAACATTATTTGTTTACTTCTAGCTTCAAAGCCGAGAGGATGTTTGCTGAGGTCTACAGGGTCCCTTCAGCAAAAACAATTTGAAAGTTTACCTTGGTATACAGTACCTATGTAAGTTATGAGTTAAAGATTGTCAAGGAGCAGTACAGAAATACACAATATAAGATCACACTAACAGCACAGAGAGACGGAAATGAGAAAAAAAACAAGAAGCAGGGAACAAGAAGAGGAAAGACAAGAGTCCAGAGGAGTTGAGACTTGAAGCTTGCACCAGACGAAAGCCCCTACTTCATGATCATCTAAACCAAACCTGATTACAGCTAAGTATTTGAACCTTGCTAGAGAGAGTGTATGTTTTTAGGGAATTTAGGTTTCCTTGGTAAAAGATACCTCAGTTCCTGCTTAGGGTGTACTTTTATGGATAGGGATATTGGCTCCCATTTATTTAGTGGCATCCGGGGTGCAGAGAGAAAGATTTAATTGCAGGTTGCATTGTATTTAGATAGAAGGAAGCTTATCTCTTATGTGGCCTCTGTGGGCATTAAAGAGTTTAATGCTTAGTAGCCGTCTGGGGTTTACTGGGTGACCAGAATGTTAGGCCTCTGACACACCTTGTTTGTAAATACTGTACATAGAGTAACTTATGTGTTGTATGTTTTGTTGTGTATAGTGTAGTTTGTGTCTTGTCATTGTAATCAATATTTGTTAAACCAAGTGTGCCTGGATTATTATTCCTCTCCCTCTCGCCAAAGCTGTGCCAGAGAACAAAGAATTCACGTGCCACTGATTATACCAAACACTCAGGTATATTTTGGAGAAATCACTTACAAGTTGGGGGTTATGAATAATAATTTCACTTATTGACTTAAGCGCTTGGTCAAATCCTGATTTTCACCATTTTCATAACCCCCCCCCCCATAGCTAACAATAGTATATTATATTCTGTATGCTTGTTGTGGTAAATCATGGGAAAATGCAATAAAGAGCATCAATGCATAATTTTAAATTAAGGTAAACTACAGAACAATATGGTGCAATAGACTGATGACACAGAATCTTGGAAACTGACAAAACACATTATGAGTATAGGAAAAGCAGGGCAAAATAGGAAACATTTAGGTAGGTTTAGCAGAATGAACTTTCATAAGGAAAAACATGGCAGAGGTCATGAGTTTGATCTTGGGTCTTGTTACTAGGCACAAGTGACTAGGATTCCCCAAGTGGCAGAGTGTTGGCAGGGGGCAGAGCTGGAATTATCTGGGTAAGGATCTCTATGAACATCTGGTTTGACGTCCTGTGAATGGCAGTGAAGTCATTGAGAGATTCACCACTCATTCAATCAGCACAAGCTTTCCCACAAGACACTGTGGAACTTGGAGTGTGCCACAGACATGAAAGATGGGCAATTGTGATTGTTGTGAGCAAAAAAGGTAAAGAAAACCATTAGTGATTCCAACATGGCTGGACAGAAAATGAAAAATTGGGAACAGAATGCTCTAAAAGATCACTTACTGGTACCAAGATCGGGACATATCCTGTTCGTTTGAATAGGTTAAACCGGGAAACAAATTCTGAAGGATGAAAGCAGGGAGAATGTACTGCAATACACTCAACTGTGTATCATTTAATAAATATAATAGGTGGGATAATGAAACATATATGAATGAATGTTTTCTAGGACATACAACTATTTAGATAAGCCTTGCAATGATGAAAACTCATTTTTTTACATCTCATCTGATTTATTGAAAAACAAACAAATTTAACAATAATTCAAATTTAGATCAAGAAGTAGTAGGGAGTAAAGACTATTGAGCTTTGGAAGTATCTCTGCAGTCCAAACAGTAAATGATAAATGTTTGTTTACTAAAATATCAGGCATACTTCAAGAACCAATAGTAATGAAATCAATGCCTAGATCTAGCTACATAACTAGAAACTGTCCTTCACCTTAAGCCTGTTCATTACTTTTGTCAAACATTTCCCAAACTGAAAAAAATCTTCTGATATGTTCTTCTGTTTATAAAAGGAAAATGCTTGGACGAATACAACATTATAACAGATAAACTGATACAAATGAAGAAAAAGACGTCTAACTTAATCTTTATCTCGAACAGAGAAAGTGGTCGGAAAATAGCCACTCTAGATCACTGTTTCAGTACCGATGGCCACTGGACAGCTCCTCTGAGTCACGCTTGCCTCTCTTAGATGCGCTAGGCTAACAGCAGGCCATCCACCATGCGACAAGCACACTAAAGGTATTGTTGCAAACTACATGGGCTAGTTTTATTAATATATGTCTTACAATATAATGTCTTAAGCATTAGTTTTTATTTTCTTTATAGTAAATACACGATCAGAAAGGTTATTTTGAAAATCCGTCCAAAAAAGAACAAAAGTAAAAACATTTGAACACATTAAATATTTTGAATGAAACAATGTTGACGTCGGTAGCATTGCCCCCGTGCTATTAGTGGGAAGGCTAAATATAATTAATAAAGAGATAACGGAATGTAAGCACCGGCTTATGCTAAGAATCACAATGGCACAGTCGCGTTTTGCAGCCTCTCTAAAGTGCATATAATTATAGTTTAGACATTTATTTTACTGTTAAAACCCGTTCATACTGTAGGAGAAACGATTATATGTTTTAAGCTTACCCCATTTGTTTTAAAACATTATAAAGAATGGGTTGCTATTGCTCCTTGTATACCGGTTCCTGCAGTGTGCATCTCCGTAGCAATGTGCATCATGCTGATGCAAGCATCCGGCGAGAAATCAGCTATTGCCTTAGTAAAAGTGGTAAGAAATGCTGTAGCCGCATTAGGCTATACATTCGTTTCTCAGTTTAGGCCTGTGTAAATCATTGAGTTCAAAGCACGATGTCAGCGCAAAATAATCAGACCACGCTCAATTATATAAATATTTTCTACAAAATCCAAGTGTAACGTCCATTATTTTCAGTGAAATATCAACCTTTACATAATACATGAGTACTATTATGTTAAGCGTAAGCTTTGAAAGTCAAAAAGCCGGTATCCACGACAGAAAATCCCCGTTATTTCCCATTTGCTTCACTTCTTCAATAAATAACAATAAACATCCTTAACTGTAGTCTCGAAGAAAGGATGTACGAGCAGATAATGCAATAAGCTTACCTAGCACGATCCAAATAGACCCAGATACAAGGACGAAGGCAAGCATCTCTCGCACATTGAGTTTGCTGCTGCAGCACGAAAGCTGGAGTTGGAAGAGTCGAAGACTGCAGCGCACACTGCAGCAGCTCTGGGACAATCTGGGAGATTAGACGACTATCACCGAGTAATACTGAGCTAGTCAATTCGGCTTTGCAAAGTCGGCTTTTAGTGGTAGATGCCTCCGGTTTTATGCATTATCTTTATTAAAGGTTCATACCAAGCTGGGTTTTAGAACAGGAAGCATTAGTTAATAAGGTATTGATGTGTCACAAAATTTAGCTCCATGAGGCTAATGGATTCCTTCGAACTAAAGGTGTAGTGCGACGGCGACAAGGTGACAAGATGATTACAGGCTTGGTGTCAGGATTTCCTTAACTCGGGATATAGCAATTACAGTATACACATTCATTTCAATGATTTCTACAGCGATTAAAGAACGTACTCAAAGGCCTTCTGTCTTTTACATTAAAAATAAAAGGCAGTACAGAAGTCATCGCTTTAACAGAATTTGTTCAACTTCGTTCGAATTTCGAGTGAGCAAAACTAGATGTCAAATTATTAAAAATAATGTTGTTTTATGTATATTTAGAATTACTTTCTTGTTATCGTTCCGGGCGTCCTCCTTTAGCCCCTAGCGTTGGAACTAAGTGATAACATTCCCCCTCTCACTCCAAGTGACTTGCTGACTCACAATTCTCTTCTGGTTACTGGGCACATTCTTCCAAGTGGCGAATGAAAGACATCACAGAAACTGCCGTCTTGAAATACAGCCTTGGAATACAGGGTTCAAAACATGAAGCGGTCTCTTAGGAACCGGAGCCATTTTATTTGCCTGACCACAGTAATTAACATTCCAGAAAGCGAACAATAGCATTTTCCACAAAGATGCTCCTGGGTGCCTCCTTTAAAACCAGTGCCCAAACCTGAACACACCAGTTACAGCTAAATAAAGAAACAAAAAAAAAGCCTCTTGTTTTTATTTAAATAACCACAGTATCTCCATGAACTATATATTCTTCCTTTTTTCAATAATAATGCTTTTTAAAGGGGAACTACAATGCTATTTTTATATTACAGGGTTAGAGAGAATCAGCATTGAGTGCATTTCAAACCACAATGAAAGTAAAATGTACTTCCAATTTTCATCACAAAATAGTTTAAATTTCCAGGTATGCACAAAACCATGTTCTGCTATTCAGAATGAAGCAGCAAAACGTCCGGTGAGGTGAACCAGCATTATTAAATTGTAAACAAGCAAGCTTGTGAATACATCTCTTTTAATTCAATAGAAACATTGCTCTGGACTTCAAGATGGTCTTGCTGACAAATACTACTTGTTATCTCTGCACACAGATCACATTGTAACGTTTCTCCAGTGAAATGTCTGCTTTACAACCTGTACTTATTCGTTTGTACTGTACATTGCATTACATCAGTCATTACAGTAACTAGTGAGCAGGAAAGGCCACATCACATCGCGATTCATGCGAGCTCTAGGGGTTTGCAATAACATGGCAATGTTCACAAAGTGTAACGGGAGCTGGTCCAGGCTCCCACGAAGCGTAGTTCAGGGCCCTATGCAGACGGTATAATCCGGAAGTAAATGGAGAAGAACAACAGGGAAGAAACGTAGAGGATCAGGATGGGTAGACAGCCAAGGGGGGGGGGGGGGTGACATGACAACAGTGACCCAGCGCTTCGAGAGACGTGGCGCAGGCAACCATGTTCTAACAGTCCAAGGGAGAAAATCCGTGACGCAGTCCAAAGTCCAAAACTGGGTGATCCATCCAAAATGAGACAAACACAGTTAAAATCCGGAGCGGGATCCGGAACAGAGACAGGGAATAAAACCCTAGATAATGAGGCTAGGCACTCCGTGCCCCGGACTCAGATGGTCAGGACGCTGTGATGAAGCCTATGCTGTCGGGTCTCTCCTGGACCCGCTGGTAGGCAGGCTTCTGGGCGTCCATCTCCCAATGCTGAGCCAGGAATAGCGGGAGCGCCAGGTTTAAATAAGGAGACAAAACAGGGGGCAGGTGCATGTAATACACGAAACTACGAAAGGGACAGAGCGCCCTTAACAGGAGGGATTACGGTCATGACACAAAGTTCCCATTTTTGTGCTTAATTCAAAATTTGTAAAAAAAATAATGTCAGTTACTTTTTTTTTGTTACTGCGATTGAATAACCCGTCTGATAAATCGGGACTGCAGTTCCCCTTTAAGAAACAAGCTTGGTCTGATAACATGTTTCTGTTGTTGTAACACACATTTGCAGCAGACTTCCTGCCTGTATGTTCGTTAGGGCTGAAGTTGATTTAATAGCTTTATTACGCAGGGCGCATGTGACTGACCTTTCAAGCTGGACCACAGTAAGAAAGCTCCAGCTGCTGCTTCTGAATGCAACCCTGAATTATGAAAAATGTGGAGATAATATGCAACGTTCAATATGAAGCTTCCAAATTCAATAACTGGTTTCATCCCACAGTCCAAAAATATTCTGGTAGGTTAATTGGCTTCTTGAAAATTGACCCTGGTGTGAGTGTGTGTACTTCTGTTTGTATCTGTGTGTCTGCCCTGGGATGGACTGGCACCCCCTCCAGAGTGTATCTTGCATTGCGGCCACTGCTTGCCAGGATAGGCTCTGGCTCCCCCTTGACCCTGAATTGGAAGAAGCAGTCAGAAAATACTGTAGATGGATGGAAATGCTACTCCAATTTTAAACAAGAACACTTCCATGCCTATTAAAGTTTTGGGGCTCCAAGTTACAAGGTTCCATCAGTTTGACAAACAAGAATATAAGTTCAGACTTCTAACACACCTGCAAGTATATTGCAAATGTGGGATTTACAAAAATTAAGACTTCCAACCAGGAAATGTAAAAACTGTTTTTGCTTTTACATACTATCATGTAAATTAGTGAACATTTACTGTAAATGCTATCTGTGGTACTGGAACTTGTCCCATTGTTCCTTGGCTTAAAGTTATGAATTCATGCAAATAAGTAAAGGAAAAAGGAAAAAAAGACATTGCAGCATCAGATACAACAAGAATAACCTGGTGTGGAAAAGGAAGTCCACATAGACTTGTGCACTGAATTCCTCTAACCTTCCCAATACCAACTTTTAGCATCCAGTCCAAGCAAGTCTGTCCTAAACCTAATGTAATTTCTTCTCCTATGCAATCTAAGCTAAACATTCCAGAAGTCATTAAGCTTGTATTAAAACCAGCTTGAAAATATATTTTTAAAATACAAAATCAAAATGCTCCTAAGGATTTGAGTAACAAAGCTATTTGGCCTTGCTTTAAATTTTAAATAAAGTATATTAGTATTGGTATATCCATATTAATTGATCTATTGATTAGCAACATGTTGGCATGGTAGTTTGTGCTGTCTTTTTTTTTTGCATGTTCTTCCAGGTTTATGTGGATTTTCTCCTGGTGCTCTGGTGTCCTACCCCTCGCAAGGACAGGTTAGTAAGGCAAGCTGTCACCGTGTATGTACTGTACCCGGTGATGGACTGGTGCTTGTGTTCTATGCTCCCAGAATAGGCTCTTGGTTATTTATCAGCCACGAATCGCATTCTGATAAAGGGCACATGGAATGATGGAACAGATCAATTGTCTGTTGGCAGGCCCTACATACAAAGTTATCAAAACTAGATTACTGCATAGAGAAACACTAAATAGTATTTTCCACTTCTGTGGAAATTAATATGTCATCTGCTTCATGAAAAAATGTCATTGTAAAACCTGCCATTCTCATGCTGTGTGAGAGTTTTTCAAAGTTAATTTCTGGTTAAAAGGATTGTTGAAAGGGCTGGTGATGTGCTAGGAAGGTAAATGTGGTCTTTGCAAAGGAGATGGTCATTACAAACACTCTTTTGGTTTACATTAGCAAAGTTAGCAAAATTTGCTTTGTTATTCCATGCTTCCTTCCCATTTCCTATGTAGTTCCTGCTACACTTCGCAAGGCAAATTCACTCTGTAAGTGGTGGAAGAAATTCATGACTCTTTTTTAATGTTTTGGGAAGGGAGGAGGGTTCTGACAGAGACCCTCAGAGAGAAATGAATGTCTGTTTTAGAGATCAGCAGTTTTGTCTTGACAGAATGTCAGTGAACACTGAGACAGATGGCCAGCAGGGGATTTACGACCAAGCTGTTTCTTCCAAAGCCTAAAACTCCTCTCTTATTAACCTAATTATTATAAACTGTATAGTATATTGTTTATATTTAAAGTCTATTATCTATTTTTTTATCTGGCTGCCCTGGCATATTTAAAGTTCCTATTACAAACATGCTATTGTTTCCAGTCGGAAGCATTTGAGGCTTTGACTGGTTTGAAAGAGTACAGCTTGGACAGGCAATGTTGTGCTCCCACTTGGCAGAGACAAGCAAGAACGCTGTGGTTTGAGGATGATCATTGCTTTTGCCACATTTTTGTAAATGTCTTCTTTAAGACACTTGTGACATTTTTAATATTTCTAAAAAATAAGTAAAAGTGTTTCCTTGTTACTTCAATAATGTTAATTTGATATCCTCAACTACATGTTCACACACTGCTCCCGGAATCTGTTTTTAAATCCTTTCAATTTACTGATTGCTTTCATTTACACTTCTGCTTGGTTTTCACTCTGGTGTTTCTGATCTCCCACCTCTTTCTTACTCTCTCATTTCCGCCCTCTCCTTCTCTACTTCAAAAACCAGAGGAAGGCTCCACAGCTGAAACATAGTGTATTGTTACAATCAGTGGTTATGAAAATGGTGAATATCAGAAATAGGCCAAGCAGATTAATCAATAATCAAAATAAATAACCACAATCACTAACTTGTAAAGATTTTGCCAAGAATATACCAGAGTGGTTAGTATAATCAGAGGCACCTGAGTTATTTGTTCTCTGGCACAGCTTTTGATGAAAAGTGGAATAATCCCGGCACACTGGGTTAAACAATTATTTATTAATAACGACAATAAAGGCAGTAAACAGTATACAACATAAATGTTCAACATGTAACACTATTTACAAACATGCAAACAAGTCCCAGGGGCCTACGAGCTGACCATCCAGAAAAAATGCCAGCCTGCTACCAAGTACTTAACTCCTACATATCACCTACCCATGCCGACAAGAAATCTGCCTTCTAAACTAAACAGAATATGACCTACAGTTACATCTCTCTGAAAATTAAATAAATGGAAACCTATCTTCCTACCCTAAAACTTCACTCACAAACCAGGGGAGGCCATTTTAACCAAGGGATTCTTTATACAGGAAATGAGAATTTCCTAGAAACAGAAGAATGGCAAGGTTATCTTAGGAAGAATCAAATACTAATACAAATAATACAAATAAGCCGAATATGGTCTATATTTGGTCTCCTCTCTATTGTCTCTCCTGGACTGTTGATTGACACTTAATCATTTACCCAGAACTTAATTAATAAGGGTAATTTTTATGATTGCTATGATCAGTGAATCTCAGACCCCTACATCTCAGCAAAAATCTCCATGCTTTGAAGCTCCAGAGAGGTGG